GGCTCCCCCGCCGGAAGGAGGGGAGGGGGCCGGGGGCTGCGGGCGGGGGAGGAAGGGAGCAGGAGGAAGCTGGGACCCTTGACTGACCTCAGGCCACCCGCACAGGTGCACAGCGGAGCCCGAGCCTTACTGGGGTCGAGCGCAGGGCAGACGCCCCTTTGAGTGCCCTCTGTGATCGCACCCCCAGCCTGGAGGGCGCCTTTCAAACCCAGCGCCGAAGGCGACAGGGTGGGAGCAGAGGCTCCTGCGAGGCGCCCACCCGGGACAGCCCCGCGCGACCCCGACCCCCCACTCTCCCGCTGACCTCCGCGTGATCCCGAGCGTCGCGCAGCGCCCCCCGGAGACGTGCTCTGGTCTAGGACGGCCTCGGGGCGGGTCCCGGCTCTCGCTGACCGAAGACGTGGGAAGTCACCGAAATGGCCACGTCCTGGCTGGGACACGGTCCTCCTGGGGAGCTTGCACTTTCGCGAGCCGTTTTACACAGTAGGCTGGACGGTGCTCTGGAAATGAGAGCCGACACTTCAAGTTGGTTTTAAAGGGGTGGTCAGGGTCTCACTGGAAAGAAAAAATTATCTGACGTCAAAGCTCACGCCAAAGACGTCGGCAGAGAGATAAACATTTCGGCGTTTGATCAAGTGAAGGAAGGTCCGGACACAATCCAAGCGGCTGCTGGAAGATTCGCTAAATGAATCAAACTTCAGAAAGGTTATTAGTAATTATCCTGACAAGGACTTACGCTTCTTCACCCGACTGACTATAATGCATTGTTCAGTGAAAATGGCGACTTACGAGACAGTTGGAGTGAAATGAGCCCATTTGCAAAGTACAGACATAAAATGATACATGCCACATTGTTACTACTGGTTGCACCTGGGGGATAGTATTCTTTTATTTATTATTTTTATTAGGCATTTAAATTTTCTTTTTGCTTATTCGTTTTTTAATTTTTATAAAAAGATAACTTTTTTTTCTACTTTTCAGATTCCTGTCAAGGTATGGAAGGAGAAAACAGCGGGGACGGGGACAGCAATCCCGGTGGCCAAGTATACGAGGCTGAAGTAAACCTGACATGGTGAAGACAGGAATTTAGAGATTTGCTGCAGCAAACCCTCCCGCTCCAGTGAAACCCTTCTGGGAATGGAAGCGCCCCCTTCTCTGGGACACACTAGATGTTCAGTGAAAACATTCCCGATTGCTCTCCACCCGTTAAACATCAATGAATTAAGTCTGTGGAATCTAAAATATTGAAGTATCTAAGAAATAGCGGTATGCTATGGTGCATTCTAAAGCATACTTGCTTTAGAATGCACCATGTGCTAATGACTGCAGCAGACATCAGGGAGATGGAGGGAGAGGCAGCCTGTATTAAAGCCAGCACTGGTTAATTACATTTTGGCATTACTTCTTGTTGGAATATCAGGCCTCTGTTAAAAGTGAGGCTTACGAAGAGTTTGTCTTGATTTAAAATGCAAATAGTTATGTGCTGAAGTTAAGACAACAGGCTTTCGAGTCTGAGAATTAAAGGAAGCCACTTATTGGTGGAGGACTTCTGGAAAGGGTTTCAGAATTCACTGGACCTATTTCTGTATTAATAGCAAGGGAGCATAACCTTAGCTCGTAGGGGGGCTTGGAGGTTCAAATAAGACAATATTTGTAAACAATAATATTTTACCTGGGACACAGAGATTGCTCAGCAACTGCCAACTAAAAACAAAAAGTTACAGATTTAATAATGAATTAGGATCACAGAATCTGTTGAATTACATTTAACTTAATAATTTTAACTTATGAGGTATGTGATGTCAATATTGACTTTTCTAGTTTTAAGAGATTTTGCTTTGAATTCCTGTTTAATTTCATCAACTGTTTTTTTCTCTATCTCTTGACTTGCTTTTTCTCCTTTATTTTGAAATCGTGGTGGATTAGGGGTTGATTTTCTTTTTACATTAACCCGTACTTGCATGAATAGAATAAACCACACGTGGTCATGATATACTATAATTTTTTTCATATCACTAGATTCAGTCTAATTGCTTTGTTTAGGATTTTTGCATCTCTTCGTTAAAGAGACATGTCTCCACTTTGTTTCTTCCAGTGTTTGTTATATTTTGGCATCGCAGTCATGCTATTGTCATTAAAAATATTGGAAAGTATCCTTTTACTTTTCCTAGTTTCTGGAAATTTTTATAGGGTTGGAATTATTTTTTCTTTAACCATCAGGAAGAATTTACCGCTGAAGTGGTCTAGGCTTCAAGCTTTCTTTGAGGAAAAGTTTTTCATTTGGGATTGAATTTCTTCAATAGATTTAGGACTAATTTTTTTCCTCTTCTTATATCAGTTTCAGGTTTTGTTTTTTTACGAAATTTTTCAATATCGAATTGTCAACGTATTTGCTTATCGTATAACCTTTTACTTTCATTTATCTTTTATATTTATTCATTCACTCAATTAATTTTACTTATTCTCATGTAAAATCTATTGATACCCATTTCTGTTATGTATATTTTTCCTCTTTCTTGCTTTTTCCTGATCGTAAATGAATTTTATTAATCTTATCAAAGGACAAACTTTTTGTGGTATTGTTTATTCTCGTACACATTTTTTTTCTATTTAATTGATTTCTGCTTTTCATTATTGCCTTTCATTTTCTCTGGGTTTAACTTGCTTTTCATTTCTAGCTTCCTGAAATAGAAAACCAAATAACTGGTTTTCGACCGTTTTCTCTCCTAATATGTTAATTTTAAGCTATATGTTTACCTTCAATTTTTAGCATTGTATTTTACTATCATTTATTTAAAAATACTTTCTAATTACTCAAATGTATCACTCTAAGGTTATTATTTTTGTAATTAAGAAACACCTGGGAGAAAGAGATTTTGAGATTTTAACATTTGTTCCTTATAACATTTTGCTCACAAGTTTTATCATCCATTGATAATTCCTGCTTGAAAAAATCCTTAACTATAGTTGTCGTTAAATGCTGAATTGCTAATTTTGTCATTTCTTCTACATTGATCAGTTGTAATTCTACTATCATAAAGAGCTTTTTCTCTTCCCGTTATTTCAGTGCAATGTATTTATATTTCCTTTTTTGTTCGATGTGGTTTTTTCTTTCAAGTAATTTCTTTTGTAATTTGTTTCATTTTTTTTGTTCTAGTTGTTACTTTGATATCTTTCTAATAGTGCTCTGAATCCCATTTTTCGCAATTTTTTTGTCAGCCTATCAGTTGAAGTGGTACCCTGATTTCCTCCTAATATCAATAACATTATCTTACTTCCCTCAACCCTCTTCTTCCCACGCTTACTCAAATTCTTCCCACTTTGTCCGAAAAATTATATTTATATAGTATTCTTCCATCCTTGTTCTGCCATCAATGTAGTCTTAGACATGAAATCAAACATAATGAATACTTGCCATCAGCCCTTTATCTGGATGAGGCTCAATCTCTAGTATATTCCTCAGAAAGTTAATTATTGTATGTGATGCAAGTATAGATCAAAACTCATGTTTTTTTCTATACAGATGTGCGAGTGTTCCACCACCTTTTTCGAAGAGACTATCCTCCCTCCAATGACTTGTTTTTGCAACTTGATAAAAATCAATTGACTATATCATCTATAGTTTTACTCAGGACTCTCTTCAGTTTCATTAATCTATATAACTTTTCAGATACCACATTGTCTTAGCTACTATAGCTTAATAGGTTTTTAAATCAAAGAGCATCATGTCTTGCAACTTTATCCATTTCAAAATTGAGTATTCTAATTCTTTTGCTTTTCCATGTAGATTTCAGATTGTCAATTTTTGCTGAAAATCTTTCCGGATTCTTGATTGGAATGGCACTGAATCTATAAGTCAGGTTGGAGAACACTGACAATATTGACTCTCCTGATTCATTAACATGGCGTATCCTCTAGTTACTTGGGTCATAATTTCTTCATTGTTTCATGGTTCTCACCATATATTTTGACTTATACTTAAGTATTTCATGTTTGGGGGTGCTGTCATAAATAGTAATGCATTATAAACCGTTCTGCTATCTCGCTAAACTGACTTGTTATAGTGGTGGGGTATTTTTGGTTTTGTTTTGTTTTTTGGTAAGCTTTTTTTTTTTCAAGTTTCAGATATTTATTAATCAGTGT